AGCAAGAAAGGTCTTGCCAGATGACAGTGCCATGCTCTTGGACTTACCAGCATCCAGAACTGTGAGTGAAGCTTCTTTTCTTTATAAATTACCCAGTCTGTGGTATTCTACTATAGCAACAGAAAACAGACAAAGACAGCAACCCTTTATTTTACAAATCAATGGTGTTTCCAATGGAAGTGACTTTCTTAAAGGCATAAGATACATCTGGTGACTTAGTCCAGGTATTCTGACTACAAGTGCATAGCTCTGAACACTTTTCCATATACTATCTCTCTTTAGCTCAGTCTTTACTTCTCCTTCTCTCCATCATAAATTAGCTGCCATCATTCTCAAGGTCCTGGCTTTTTCTAGGAGGATCCTGGAAATAAGGATCCTCTTGGAGGATCCTATACAGCTCTTATGTCATAGGATGCACTTCATCCCCCAACCCCATCTACCAAAACTACTTGATACTGCTATCAAGTATAGAGGGGTTTTTGTTTCTTATTCATGTCCACATTGATAAGATAGTGTATAAAGAAGCAACATTTATTGTTACAAAACTCCCACAGATTTAACACTGACCTTTGCCCATGGAATTTGTCTCTTGGTCAGTCAGTCTCTACCTGATTTTCAGATACAGTAAGCATTTGCTAAAATAATCAGGACACAATGCAAACTAATTTCAAACTAAAGTTGTAGAGCTTCTGAAAGACACCAGAATTCCATGAGTTCCATGGATGTAAATAAAATTAATCCTGAGAAAGGAAGTATCTTATCTTCCTCCTGTTTCTCAAAGACATCCAAAGTCATTGCTAATGAGGGCCTGGCAAAGTTGAACTTTTTTTTCTTTTTGAGACAGGGTCTCTGTCACCCAGGGTAGAGTGCAGTGTTGTGATCAGCGCTCACTTCAGCCTCTACCTCCTGGACTCAAGCAATCCTTCTGCCTCAGCCTCCCAAAGTGTTAGGATTACAGACATGAGCCACCATGCCTATAGCTAAGCTTCTTTTTTAAAAAAAATTTTATTTCAATTTTTTTATGTTTTTAGAGACAGGGTCTTACTATGTCACCCAGGTAGGTCTTGAATTCCTAAGCTCAAGTGATCCTCCTGCCTCAGTCTCCCAAAGTGCTAGGATTATAGGGGTGAGCCACTGTGTCCAGCCCCAAACTAAATAAAATAAACTAGATGAAAATCATAAAATAATAGGTAGTTTTAAAAAGAATGATTTAATTAATAAACTGATGCACTGTCTTTCCTATCACACTGTTCAAATATCAAATATATTTTGCTCAATCAATTGCTCCGAAACAAAGTCGACTTGATTCACTCTAAGTTTTAGTGCATAGTTTCAACTACAACCTAAATTTTGCTCAACACAACATGAAATAAATTCATTTCTGTAATTTTCTTCTTTAATTTATTTATATATATTTTTTCACTTTGCTGAGACAGGGTCTCGCTCTGTCGCCTAGGCTGGAGTGCGGTGACACAATCACAGCTCACTATAGCATCTACCTCCCTGGCTCAAACGATCCTCCCGGCTCAGCCTCCCCAATAGCTGGGACAACAGGTGTGCACCCCCACGCCCGGCTAATTTTGGGGGTGATTTTGTAGAGACGGGGTTTGGCCATGTTGTCCAGGCTTGTCTTGAACTCTTGGGCTCAAGCAATCCTTTCACCTGTTTCTCAAAGTGCTTGGGATTACAGAAATGAACCACCACACCTGGCCTGCTTCTTTTAAAAGTCAAGTTTCAATCAAATGTTTACTCGTTGTTTTCTGTGAAATTATGGTTCCCTATTCAAATGACCTTTTTGTAATGCGATAGATTCTTAGAGAGGGAAGACATGCATATATCAGCAAAGATTAGAAGACTAGAGGCTCATAAAGTACTTAGAGTAAAATGTTAGGGTGGGTTCTCTCTTGAGTGGTGATGACGCAAGTGGTTATTACTTTCATCTGTGAACGTTGTTAAATTTTTCAAAATTTTCTAAAAATTAGCACATTCTGCTTTTGAAATATGAAAACATTATTTTATTTTGTATAAAACACTTATTTTTAAAAAGACAGACTTCTTCTTTCCTTCCATCTCCTCATAATTCCCTGCCCCCACTAATGCCTTGGGACATTGAGGCTGTAGTCCCTCTCTACTAAGACACTAATTATTCCCACTGTTTTGAAGGGTAGAGCCACCTTTACTGCTTGTCATCACACTGCAGTTAATCTTCATTTTTGCAGTTCCAAATTAAAAAAAATTATAGCTTTGAATAATTTTGGCATTATTCCAAGGCTTTTCTTGACTCTTGGAGGTGAGGGAGGTGGTGTGGGTCACATATGGCAGGTGGAAAAGTCTTAATTTTTTGGTATGACTTTTCTGGTCTCAGAATATGAAGTTTGTCCTGAGAAATAGGGTGTTTTACTTTTTTCTCCCCATAAAAGTTAGTGGGACCTTTTACAATTTTCTTTTTTTTCTTTTTTTCTTTTTTTTCTGAGACGGAGTCTCGCTCTGTCGCCCAGGCTGGAGTGCAGTGGCGCGATCTTGGCTCACTGCAAGCTCTGCCTCCCGGGTTCACGCCATTCTCCTGCCTCAGCCTCCCGAGTAGCTGGGACTACAGGTGCCCACCACCACGCCCGGCTAAATTTTTTTGTATTTTTAGTAGAGACCGGGTCAGGATGGTCTCGATCTCCTGACCTTGTGATCCACACGCCTCGGCCTCCCAAAGTGCTGGGATTACACACGTGAGCCACCGCGCCCGGCCACCTTTTACAATTTCTATCCTTCATCATGCTGGGTATGAGAAATTGTTGGCCTGAAGCCTTTCTTCTGGCAATAATCCATTGCACTAGTTGTCTGAGGTCACTCTGATTTACGATAATACAACCATGATGGCCTCATATGTAAGAAGTCATAGTCATTTTGTTCTGCCTTCCGGGCAACAATGGCTCATTTCCTTTCTGGCTAAAGGACAATTTAATGTTTTTTTTTTCTTTATTTCCTTTATTTGTCTATTTTTCCTGTGTATACCCTGCCTCCTTCCACAAAGGAGTAGAATATTTTTTCCTTCCAATGCTTGACTTGTATGGGTGACCACAAAAGACATGTATAATAAAAGAGTAAAATAGATATAGGAGTTTAAAACCCAGGACTGAGAAAATTATTTAAAAATCATAGTGAACTTATAATTAAATTATATATATACTATTTTATAAATAAATTTATATTACTCAGTTTATATTATAAATAAGTAGTATCAATAATAAATAAGATTAGGACAGGCGAAAGGCCCATAAAGGCATAGGTCTTGAAAAACTGTGTAATATAGTTATTATAGCTGAGCCTCAAATTTCACTCTAAGTTGCCTGGCAATGAAAGCTTAAAAGAAAAAAAGAAAGAAAGAAAGAAACCGTCAGCATAATTTCATTTCCCTCCGTTAATTCAATGGGGGACTATATAGATTTACTTGATGAAGCAATTATTGAAATCACAAAAGGCAAAAAATCCTGTGACAAAAAGACAGTTGTTTTTCTTGATTCCAAATATAACCACCATTAAGACTGGACAAATTTTTATCTCTTACCAGATAATGATTTAAATAATCTTGTTTTACTCTCTGTAGATTATTTAGATGGCTTATTTTCGTTTTGATTTTAAGAGAGTTTTTTTCTTTTCTGATACTATACTAATAGTAGTATCAGGCTAGATAGATTGAGGCTAGAATATGTTAATGAACTAAAGTCAAAATATTTGACAAATTTTATTACAATTAATATAGTTTAAATAATTTTGAATCATCCTTTACCCATTCTCCTAAAATTGCAGAATCTAGAGCTAAAAAAAGGACATTAGAACTTTTATAGTTCAACCTCCTCATTTAGTAGTTATGAGCATGTTGTCTCAGTGTCTCGGCCTCTGAAAATTTATAAAGTTCAAATTTCAAATTGTGAAAAACATGACTCTCAGAAAAATATAAAATGAGCACATGTCAATAGTATTCCTCAATTAATAAGAGAATCCATGAGATGTTAAAACCAGTTCAGAGTAGTTGAGAAACTAGACTTATATTGGCAAACCAATTTGATCTTGGCCTAAGATTTAGAATTGGTTAACGCTCTAGCAGGGCCAAATATATAACCCTTGGGGTTCTGTTCCTCTGGTTAAAAATTATTTGTATCCCTACTGGACAAATATAGTCAATTCTTATTATTTACAGATCCCGTATCTGTGAAATTGCTTACTCACTACAGTTTATTTGTAACCCCCAAATTAATACTCAACACACTTTCGTGCTCCTTTGAGGCCATGCATAGAGCAGCGAAAAATTTGAGTTGCCTGATGTGCCAATTCATAATTGAGTTTGAAAGAGGTGACACTACCTTCCTGTTTCAGCTCTCGTACTGTAACCAAATGTCCCTTTGCCATCTGTATAGTGCCATTTTTTTTTCCATTTTTGTGCTTTTTGTTGGTGATTTCATTGTTTTTAAATGGCCCTCAAGCATAGTGCTGAAGGGTTGTTTAATGTTCCTAAGTGCAAGAAATCTGTGATGGGCCTTTAAAAGAAAATGTGTGTTAGATAAGTTTTGTTCTGGCATTAGTTATAGTACTGCTGGTCATGAGTTCAATGTTAATCAACTATATCAACTATATCGAATATATATAGCTATATATACGTGTGTGTGTGTGTGTGTGTGTGTGTCTTCAAATACACATGAAACAAGGTTATGTGTTGATCAGTTGACAAAAATTTTGTATCTTGAGGCTTATATTTGCCATAGAAGAAATGATTCAATATTTGCTAATTCAGTGTTCATGGCAACTTTTTTTTTTTTTTTTTTTCCCCATCGTTAAGATAGGGCACATCAGCCTTACTCTGCCTCCTCTTAATTGACTGACAGCTAATTTTCTATAAAAGTTTCTGTTTCCTGCACCTGACAAAATTCACAATTGTCTTCTGATCAACATAACTAATTTCAATTACAACTGGAATAGTTACCTTTTATTATTTCGATATGATACGATAGACACCGACAATAGCCTACCAACAGCTACCAACGAACAGACCCTACTACGCCACGCCGATTAACCGCTCAACACCCCGAATACCTGATCACCGTCACGATATCTACAAAGATAACTCAGAAGTACTCGAAGCCCGATCCTACTTTGTCACCCACGCCTGGAGAGCAGTGGTGGCCATCTTGGCTTACACCTACAACGTCTCGACCCATCCATCCAGGAAGAACTCATCAACAATGCGCTCATACCTCACTGCCCTCAGTCACCCCACAGTATAAACTGCGGACTCACAGCCACACAGCACTTCACCCACCACACAAACACAAAACTCAAACGACTCAGCAAATGATAAAACAAGACAAAAACAATCCACCCACATCAAAAGCTCTCCTTGGAAAAAATTATTGTTTATATGCTTACCTTTTCGGTACGACGACTGGGTTAATACCATCATATAGCCCAGCACGCACATGGTCTATGAACCCTCCTGAGCATCAAAGCGAATCTGCAAGCTCCTCCAGATCTACAATCCAACAGTCTTATAGAATTATCACAAGCCTTTAGCATGCCACAATCAATACAATCAAGCGATATGGCCAAGACACCAGTTTATTACATTCATTAAAGTACATAGACCCCTCTGGTCATCAAACATTATATCACTTTATCAACTACACATGTACCTACTATATATAGTTACCGAACACCATACTTATCCTATTCTCACAATCCTAGTATAATTGTTCCTCATTGATCCACTCCTTCAAAGCAACACCTTATAATCAAACTCGCTATATGACGACGCGAGCTTTATATCATCACCGAACGGGATCCTCCCCAACCACAAAAAAACCTACAGGCAGGGAGTAGTACGCCTACAACATCGAGTACTGAAAAGCATGCAGCAGACGGCACTTCCAAGACAGGACGGCCAGACTATAGACAGATCCGGACTTGCTCTAGCCAACAACTGCGTATCGCTCACCATGAACAGTCATTGTCCACTATCAGGTTGAAAACCAGGAGGAGCTAATGAATAAACTCTATCCATAAGAATGGAGCGAGATCCATAAACACATGCCTACTAAAACAACCACACATCGCTGTCCGAACACTCGCATCAAACCATCGTGTATTCACCTAATGCGAGGTAGAGACTGTAACATGAGCAATTAATGTCATATACCAGTTCCGAGCCTACATATCGATACCACCAAACAACGTTGCAGCAGGGCACTCACTAAGGCTCAACAAATAGTGCATCAGCACATCAATCCTATAACTACAAATAACGAACCAGCGTCTCATGGTCCTTAAGATACCGTGATAATCCGTTGAGAAACAGTTAATAGGAAAAATACAGTCTTCTCCAAACCATCAAAGCTCTTAGTCTGGGCTTTCTATATTGAACACAGGAGGGTCGGCCACTCTATCAGTAAGTCTGTCAGTGGGATCCGCAGTTGCAGGGCATCTCTTCTTTTCATATATACGACTAGGGTCTCACTCTGTCTGCGCAATCCACAGCCATTTCGGAGCTCCAGGCTGGCATGATCATACTCCCTCCACTCGCCAAACCTACTGCCCTCCTGAGTACAATCAGCCAGATATCCTCCTGCCTCAGCATCCCTAGCGTCGTCGGTGACTAAAATAGGCACTTACCGAACGCTCAGCCCCGCCCAGTCCAACCTTCTCTTCTCGCTATTCTATTGAGTACAGAGATAGGATTATTCCTGTCTCGCACGACCCAGCCGCTGGTCTATCCCATTGATCCTGACCTTCAAGTGATCCTGTCCCGCTCTGGAACCTCTCGACAAAAGTGCTTGGAGATTACCAGGCGCTGAGCCACTCGCACCTCACGGCATTCCATAGGCTGCAGACTGTCTGAAACCAAGTAAAACAAAACTATCACTCTATTATATTGCCTTATTCTCTTAGACGAGCTCAGTGACTACTGTATCTCACGTCTGCTCGCGAACAAAAAAAACTCTTATGGCAGTTAGAATCATAGTATCATATATTTCAGTACATCCAAGATGTGCCTGCTTAACCTTTGCTACCTTGCAGGCTTTACGGCTCCTTCATCTCTATACCACTTTTGTATCTATTGCCTCACGCCAATTATTGCTTTTTGCTCCAGTTCAATGATCTCTATTTTTCCACACTTAATGCTTGGTTAGTTTTTTGGCTCTAAACTGCAAAAGGCGAGGGGAATCTGCGCTGCCATGCTGTCCTGCTGGGCATGCGTAGCTTTCTAAAGGACTTTAGCTCCTGGGGTCTCCCTTGTCCACCGAGGGGTTCCTCGCTTTACCCTCAACATATCTCGCCAGGCTTAGGATTTTATTTTCATAGTCCTCTCCATATATATGAACAACCCAGTTTAGCAGAGCCTATTTACATTTATGGTGCTTATACTATCTTGAAGCTTTTCCTCTAAAAATAAGACAAATGATATCTCGAAGACCTATGGAAAGATATACGCTACCCTTTCTTCACTCCCAATGTATATTGCATCTTCATTGCAGTGAACAGTATGCTTTCTCTGTAAACACCTGGTACGATGGAACAATGATACTTATTATAATATTAACTATAATTTCCCGCTTTCCAAAGTCTCAAAGAACCTGATCACTCACGCTTAAACGCATTTTCGATCACACACAGAAAAGCTCTTATGATACAAATGGACTTGGTCTAGAATTCTGAAAATAAGCTAGGAATGTCTCCCATAGCTTATGGATGAAAGCTATACTCTGTCCTGAAATCTTCATCTCTTATGGAAGCCAGGCAATCTTTGAATAGATAGATGCTCTCGTCTATTATACGGCCCCAATAATTCTCAAAAAAACAGCTCCTGTGTTAATGCCAAATATGTTACTTTGAACGTAAGTTTCACGTATCATATATACATTTGATTAGAGAAGCCCATGTAATCTATAAACAGATTTTCGGTTCTCTCTGATTTACTCTCACTTTGCAGTGCACAGGCTCCCTATTCACAGAGGCAGCATGACAACTTGTACATTAATTACTTGATCTTACACCGCTGTATAACTCCTTCATGCCTTAGGTTTTTCCCTAGTAAATGCAGCTCATAGCAGCTGACAGCCAGCCACGTCTTGGTGCGTCGATCTCACTCCAGCTTGCTCGGCTATATACCGCAAACTCCTATAAATAGGAGCTGCGCCAGTCGCCCTCAACCTCTCTACAGATACTCCATCTTTTTGGGCTTCCTGTGCTTGCACTCCAATTAAATCCTGTCAAGTAATTATCTTAGGATCAAAACTTGTCCTATGTTTACCAGGCGCTCCTCTTGAAATTCCTTTGGAATCCTATGATGGGCTCATTGGTTTTATGTAAGAGATGTCAGGGGATCTTCTTGTTTCTTTTTGTTTTGCATATTCTTATTTACGCTGAAACGATATCACACGCTGCAACTTTAGGCGAGGTGAATGATAACTAGCTGGAAAATTCGGGAACGCTAGGTTAAGAGCGCCTGAAAATAAATTCACACATAGTAAGCCATGGAGAACAATCAAAATCCGCAGAAATGTCCACATAATAACGATTTATTAAGCCAAATAACTCATGATTATTTTTTAATTTTAACACGACGAATGACTTGAGAATACTTTACAATTAACTCGGACGGAAAGGCAAATTACCAGAACAATGCATCTTTACTTTTTTTTTTTTTTTTTCTTTTGAGACGGAGTCTCACCTACTCTCCGGTGAGGTGCAGCTGGGCACAATCTCGGCTCACTGAACCCCTCTGCCTCCCACGTCAAGCAATTATCTGCCTCAGCCTCCCGAGTAGCTGGGGTTACTACGGCACATGCCACCACGACGGCTAATGTTGTGTATTTTTAGTAGAGACGGAGGTTTCACCATCTTGGCAGGCTGGTCCCTTGACTGTTGTCCATGATCCGCCTGTCCGGCCCTCCCCCAAAGTGCTGGAATACTGAGTTTTGGTTTTGTTTTGTTTTGAGATGGAGTCTCACTCTGTCCTCAGGCTGGAGTGCCAGTGGCACAATCTTAGGCTCACTAACACCCCTTCACGCTCCTGGGTTCAAATGATTCTCTGCCTCAAGCCTCCTGAGAAGCTTGGACTACAGGCACCTTCCACCATGCCTGGCTAATTTTGTATTTTTTAGTAGCGATGGAGTTTCACCATTTGGTAAGGCTGGTCTTGAACTCCTGAGCCCAAGTAACCACCTGCCTCAGTTCCAAAGTGCTGGGCATTTCCAGGCATGAGCCAACCGTGCCCAGCCAACCTGAAGTTTTATATATTGCAAGACAGTGTTATTCGGGGGTTAAGAGGAGAAAAACTACACTCCACTTAGTACCGGTCAAAGTGTTACCAGGAGAGTATATCTGCTTTATGTTTCATAACATAAGGCTTTACATGTCACGGCATTTTACAAGCTAACTAAATATTGGCCAGATATATTACCCCAAATGGAAATAAGCAAAAGGTAAATACTGGTTTGACGTAACAGTACCAGGGCTAGTCTTGACTTACTATTTATACAACTATTTCTTACATTCTGTACGGGCAGAGGACCTAACTATGTAGATACAACGAGTTCATTATTCTAGCTAGTATATGTTCTATGAAGTTTGCCATGGGCCGGGCACGCACTGTGGCTCACCCCTGTCAATCCCAGCCACTTTGGGAGGCCAAGGCCGGCGCGGATCAATGAGGTCCGCCTTGAAGTCATGTCTGGTTCACACAGTGAAACCCGTCTCTACTAAAGTGGCAAAAAAAAAATTAGCCGGGCCTGGTGCGGGCGCCTGTAAGTCCCAGTGACTTGAAGAGGCTGAGGCAGGAGAATGGCGTGAACCCAGCGAGGGCGGAGCTTTTTCAGTGAGCCAAAGTTCGTGGCCACTGACTCCAGCCTGGGCAACACAGTAAAGCACTGTCTCAATATAAAAAAAAAAAATT